GTCCTTGGTGCTCTCTGAGCTCGGCTGCATGCTTGCAGATGTTTCATTACCCAACTAGGTAACATCATCAGTGCAAGTGAGTGTGGGGTTTGCTCCCTGTTTTTATATACAGTAGCTTGCCATGCCAATGTTGATGGGGGTGTGGTTTTCTCCTTGGTAGTTCCTTGATTAGGGTATTGTTTTCTGCTTGATTGTTTGTCTGGTATTAATCCCTGCTTATCTGTGTGTCGGCTGCCGGAGGGGATGTGTCCTGGTCTTTTTGTTTCCTCCTTAACTTTTTTATTGTCTCTTTTGAATAGAGTGTAAATATGGTTTATTTCTATGTGTCTACTGATGGCTGATGTGTCTGAATGCCAAGCTTCCAGGAATTCCCTAGCATTTTTGGATTTAGTTTGGTCTAGGATGCTCACAGCTTCCCAGTTGAAACTATGGTTGAGTCTGTCTGTGTGTTGTGAGATTAAGGAGTTTTCATTGTGTCTTCTGACTGCTAGCTGGTGTTCATGAATGTGCTCTGCTAGTCTTCTGCCTGTCTGTCCTGCATAGTGGCTGTTATAGTCCTTACACTATCTTCTAGCATTGTTGTAAATGCAAACTAGGAAAGAGTTGGTTCCTTTTCACTGTAACAAAGTCATGAACCATTTTCAGATTTCTCTCACTCAGCAGTCAGGATCAGGAGCAAAACTGAGGAAGAGAATGTAGAAAAAAGGGGGCAGTCCTCTAGATTCACCACTATAACAGCTCTGACTGCTATTTCTATTGTCCACCCTGGTTTTGCTCAGCATCCAAATTCTGAAGATCTTGGAACCTTGCTGATGGATTTCAGTTGGCTCTAAAGAAAAGCATGACTGTACTGCAGAGCAAACCTTTCCAGTTTAGTGTCATCGAGATGATCAACAGTTGTTCCCATCCTCCCAGTCAACATAGCCATGTTGTCTGAGCCTGATGCAAGCTATGTCCCAAGATGTGTGCATGGCAGCAAATTGTGGAAGAGCAACATGGCCCTGTTTTTAGAGTGAGTGAAAGCTCTTGTTACCAGTGATCTGTAGATTACTTTCTGCTATAACGTTTTTGAGATCATTGCTACTCATAAGAGAATATAAGAAAATGCCATAGATATGGCTTCATGACAGCCTGAGGCAAAATATCTTGGAAGAAGATGATGGCAAACCACCCATGTTTTTGCCAAGAATGTGTCCATGAAAGTCATCAGGAATCAAGCCAGCAAGTGGCAGTATCTGGCCAACTTTGGGTTTTGAAGTTAAGAAAAGTTGGTCTTGGTTAGTACTTGGCAGGGAGGTCTGTAGGGACTGAAGGCTGTAATTGCTGCAGAGAAAACTACATGGCTGTGTCCCTGAATTCACCATGAATTGGACTTGACTCAAAAAAATGGTACTTTTCACACCATTAAGATATTGTTATTAGACTGATCTGCCATTGATGTGTACAGATGTCATTAAACTTCATTAAAATGCATTTTTAAACAGTTTGGGCTTTTTAAAATAGATGAGGAGAACAGCCTTACCCTGATGGAGATCTGATTTCATACTTATTGAAAAAGTATATCCACCTTGTCTGAAAAGTTTACCCCACAGTCCACACTCATTGGGGGAAAAAAATTGATTAGAGGAAAAAAGAAGTCTGCACAGACATCTAAGTATTATATACAAACAAACTGAATGCTTCCTTTATGAGTTACTTTTACTTGAATGCTTGCAAATATTTTGAGATATGGGAACTGCATGTAATTATTTTAAGGGAACAATAAAGGCACCAAAATGCTTCAGATACTAATTTTGACAAATATGAAAAATTATGCGTGTACATATGTATGTTTCCTATGGAAACTGAAAAACTCTAGTGTTGATTTTACAGTTGACTAATATTGCATTTTTTAAAATATATATATATTTCAAGTTCATTCCTTACAATACTGACAGAGTTGTAAATACACAACTCTGGGACTAAACCTACTGAACTTAGTGGATCTTATTTCTGAGCAGACATGAGAGAATTGCAGTGTAATTTTCTAGATGTGGAAAATCTGTAGAAGAATGTAACAGTGAGAAGCATTTCATTACAAACAAATCTATGTATTTTACCACAGGTCATGCTGGTAGATATGTGGTGGTTTACATGTGGTTTCCCCAAAGCAATTTATGGTTGAATGTCAGAAGATATATTCTGATGATTCTACAGTGGAACCTTTGACTTGGTGAAGATATTGGTTACCTCTTCTCTTGATATATTCAAGCAGAAGAGGGACTGTTACCTACCTTGAATGCTTTAGTATGGATTCCTGCAGAGATCAAAGGATTATTGATCTCCCTTTCTACTCTGTGCTTCTATTGTCACTACACTGCTAAATGTGCATACCATAGCAAAATTGAGAGATGGTGGTGATCTACGCAGGGCACGCTTAACCTGTTTATTGAATTCATCCTGGTTCCTAGATTTGCAAAGAGACACTGAATCATTGATTGATCAATTATGTGCCATCAAATCAGTGTTGACTTTTAGCAACCATATAGATGGACCTTCTGCAAGGATGATCTGCCCCAATCTGGCCCTTCAGGTCTTCCAACAGTGCACCCATCACCCCTATTATCATGTCCATCCATCTTACTGCTAGTCCTCTTCTTCTCTCTTTCCTTCCACCTTTCTCAGCATTATGGATTTCTCAAGGGTGCTGGATCTTTGCATAATATGTCCACAATATGGTAATTGAGGCTGGTCATTTGTTCCTTTAGTGAAAACTATGGATTGATTTGTTCTATGATTCATTTGTTTCTTTTCTTGGTTACCCATGGTCATTGCATCATAACACAATCTACAATTAGCTTGGATAGTACAACATAGCAAGTGCCATATATATGCTTACACATAAAACCCCCAAACCCAGGTTCAACTCTAACCAAGATCAGAAGGTTGTGTGAATGCAGCTAATAGGTTTTTAACTTATCCTGGCTAAGCATGTTGTGTGGACACACCTGACAACTCACTAGCAATTACATACTTATAACATTATTTCTTTTTAAGGGATAGAAATGAGATCTTGAAAACAGCATTGTAATTACAGTTCCTTCAGAGTGTTGTCTGTTTCTATATGTTAGGAGGAAATAGAGGTTGTCAGTTTTCACTGAAATCCACTAGAAAATTCAATCCAATTTTTTTATCTGATTCAGAAAGTTGACTTGATTTATAGATTCAGTCATGTTACCTTCAAACCAAACCTCTAGATCCAAGCTTCTCATATATCTGATACTTAATACATTGTCCAAGAGGTAGAAAAGCAAAATGGGTTTTGTTCTAAAACTCTAATGTTTCATTCTATTGGATTCTAGAATTTCAGTGGCTGTGCTGGAGACAGAAATAAATTGCTCTCATCCTAACCCTAACCTCAACGATCGTGATGAGATTCCATCCCCAGGCCCCAGGGACCTCGCTGTGGGGTGACTGCCGAGGCAACAACCTCCTGTTCCGAAGCAGGAACCATGTTGCACACCAAGCCTTCTTTAGAATTGTGAGGTGCAGCATTTTGGAAGAGGAATAAAATGTCAGCCCCAATATCTAATCTCAGAGGAAGCATCACCAACCAGAGGATGGCTGGTTGCTATAATTCAGACTCCAATTCCAGATCTGGACTTCTTGGTTCTTGGATCCAGACCTCCCAGTTCCATTCTGGAATCAGCACAGCCTAAACACATGCAAACTGCCAGAGGCTCCAAAAGAAACAAAGCAGAGAAGACAGCGGAATTTCTTTTGTTGTTTGCAGTATTTTAATACAGCATTAAATTGCTATAACACTAAAGACAAGCCAATACTATCCAGCAAATAAGGCACATGTCGGAATGCCATTTTATGGACAATCCACAGCAGAATCTTGACAGTCTTTTCCACAACCCTTTTAATCAGTTGTCACTTTGGTGGCTGAGATAAGCCTGTCTTCTCCGAGGCCTGTGTCCATAGAAAAGTTATTATTATTATTATTATTTTTAAAGCTGTACATGTTAATGACCAGTTAAAGAAGAGAAGAATTATACAACTGAAACTGAGAAGTCAGTGAGTACAGCTAGTTTTTTTTTTAAAAAAGTAATTAAACTAATTGAAATTGGCAGACATTAATATAATAACAACATTAGTTTTATATATTGTAGATTGCTGCTCTAAATAACTTTTGTAAGAGAAATAAGAGCTCAGTATAGGACTGGGCTCATTTTAAACAGGGCTTAAAACAAACAAACAATCTTAATATAACGGAACTATGGGAAACCATAAAGAATAAGATGCATATAATATACATCATTCTAACATGCATATTGTATCATGTTATGCATTCTAAATAAAAATAAACACAAAATGCTTATATCACTGCAACCCTTCCTTGGTTACAGCCAATGACTGAGTGCATTGCTTTAATGCCAGTCCTACTGCTTTCCAGACCTCCGTGTGATGTTTTTCCAACAGCTTTCGCATCATTTGGAGGCAAAGCTTCCCTTACCTACCTCCAAGACGCAGTGTAAAAAATAAACACTCCTAACCATCTTACAGAATTTCTGAAAAGCAAAGAGCAACTCTTTGGATCCTTTCACACATTGCACAACAAGAAACCCAGAGTTCTCACTGAGAGAGCGCATGTGATCGGTTGTCTCACAAACAGATCTGGTTCATGTATGTGCTTCTACTTTCTCAAATCTGACCTTCGGGCATGGAGATGGAGATTTTTTTTTTTAAAGATCCTAGGTGTACATTTAAGTGGAATGTGTGAAGACGTCCGTAGAGCATTTGCGCTTCAGTTCTTATCTTTGCACTAGAGTCTCTGCTGTTTCTTCTTGAAAATGCGCAGATACAGCATTCATTAGGCCCAGCCTAAGTGCATGTCTCAGGACTAGGCTGTTAGTGTATCTTTCTCAAAGTCATAAAGTGTAAAAGTAACTTCAATACCTGATTCTTACAAAATCAGTCATAGCTTTTCTAAAAAGGCAATACTTTCCAAAATACACATATAAATAAATTGAATACGCATATTAATATAAGTTCTAAACACCCGAATAATATATTGGTTACTTAATACTGATATTTTCATCCAAATAAAAGCAATGAGAAGAACAATATGGCTTAAAGAATTGCGAGGGTTCATTTTCTTGTCAGAATTATGTACCAACTTTCATATAATATTCTATGTAGACAATATTTCCTTCTTAATGTAGTTCTGTTGCATACTTTATACAGACAAAGGCATTGTAAAAAAAAGAAGAAGAAAGAAAAGAAAAAAGCAAATTCCTTCCATAAATATTTTCTTGAGGATACACCCTTAATTCTGTATAATACTTAAGAAAACTCTTAGCTCTGTTAGTATCATAGTAGAAAACTAAGACCCTTTCTGAAAGCTTCAGAGTTGTAAAAACACTTTAAAAAACCTCAAGCAAAACTAACAATAGTATTTTTAAAAGGCCCTCAAATATATACAAAAAGGTTACTGCAAAGAGTTTTCCAATAACAATTCAGTATTACAAAGACATATTTGTAACCATTCAAAAATTTTAAACATCTACAAAGTTTTCCAAAATACACACACAGTATTAAAAAAAAAAAAAAATGGAGAGGAACTCTATGTCAAGTATAACTCAAGATAAATACCCTTCCGCAAGTAAAACTGTAAAATATTTCATAACAGGGAGAGTAAACATTAATATCAATTGACTATATTTATTAACTGCACACGATTGTCCCTTTGATACTCACCCTAAGAAAACACAAGCCTTCATTTGTTTAGTTACCATGTTGGTCAGGCTCACAGAGTGCTACAATCATGTAGGAATATTTCTAGAGGCAGTGGTTTTTGCAGACACGAAAGCGAGAGCACTGAGATTTTGGCTAGGTATAAAGTCATGCCTTAAAGGAAGATGCAGCACGAAACATTCCTTTAAGGCTGAATTAGAAACTATTTGTCTGTTGGACTGCGTTGTAACAAGGCTTGTAGAGAGAGGCATTCAACAGAAGGCGTGCATGACATCACTTGCCCCACCGCAGACCCCCCCACCCACTTCCACATGGGTCATTTGCAGCCCTGAATGAAGATCTCCACACATTGTGCACAGTCCAGCCTAAATGCGATCCTTTTAGGGACAATGATCTTAACAGGTAGTCAAAATCATGTTATACAGAATTGGCTTGTTCCATCAAGCTCTGTACTGCTATTACTTCTTGCCGTCAGCGGATCTCAGAATTCTTTTCTCGGCTTTCTTTAAAGTCAGGGTATTTCCTAGAATCTCATACAAGCAAACCATACATTCGGAGTCCTGTTCTGTCTGCCGCTGACCTTAATGAAATGCCAAAGTCGTTTCCTGAAGAGATTCTTTAGCGTGATCTATTGGGCCTACCTGAAGCAGCTCGGGCTGGGCTTTCCATCCAGGTAATGCAATGAACTTCATCAAGGTGGAGAAATGCCATCGTTTACCACAACGCGGCCCTCGATTGGCACACATGCAGACATCTCTTCCAACCCTTCCACTTACTAACTGGAATCCTCTCCAAGCTATAAGAATAGCCAGAGGGGGCCTCAGAAATGAAGGGGAGCAACATGGCTGCTTTGCCCCATTCTTAGAAGCAGGAAAACCACACTGGTTGGCAAAATTGGTGGAAGGTTGTGCTTCACTCAAGCTGTTGTGAAAGCAGCCTGCTGCTTTCAAGATTTGCACAGCACCTGAAAGCCCCTTTCAGCTGTCACAAGTTAATTGAAGTGGAACTTCCATGTAAATGGAATTAGGCTGAAAAAGTTTCAATGTCAATGGGAATTCCCAGGAAAAGTAGTGGGTGCCCTATGTTTTAAACTTATTGTCTTACATGTATCTCTGAGGTGGGGAATGATATACTCACAACGTGTGTGATAATGGCATTCTTGAAGACAAATAAATGTCACTTTGGCACTAATAACCTTATGAGAATTGCCAGAGATCCATGGATTTCTAATTCAAGCCAGTAGATGGGTTTTGGTGGATTATGTATAACTTCCAAGTCTATCTCACAACTTTCCAGGAGGAACTTTCTTACAGCAGCCTTTTGCACCTCCTTGAAAGTCCAGGAATATGCCCCAGATGGAAATCAAAATTAGGAAGCCTTTCTGTGCATAGCTGAAGCTGTGGAGTCCTTGGGGTTCTCTGAGCTTGGTTCTTTTTTTTCAAACGGATCCTTTTCCCGCTTCATAAATACTACCTATTATAAATTAGATATTTACTTTCCTGGGGAAAGTAAAATTTTTAGAAAAAAA